CATTTTTTTCTCTTCCCGTATATCATATAATTTATTAAAGCAATCGTTTTTTTTCGCTTACAAGAAGAATTCTTTCGTTTAATTCGTATAATTTTTTCAAAACGGATGGAGAGGAAATTCGATCGTTTCCTTTCTCCATTCTCTCACTAATGTCAATATTGAAAAGGAAAATATTGGGAAGAACGATAATTCCTTGATATATCCGATTTTATTTACATTTATATCGACCGACTTATATATATAATCACGGTCGTTTCGAAGAGTCCCCTAACGACTTCCTCTTGCTTTGTTTCTAATAACAATGTAATTATTACGCAAAAGGCAGAAACTCGGTGAAACTCGGTGGAACTCGGTGGCCGATGGTGTTCGCTCCGCCATTCACCGTGGAAAAAAGACAATCTTTTTTCCCTTTTTTTCTTTTTTTTTATCTTAGAAAGTTATTCATCCTTCCACGACGATTTTGCACCGCACAATGATATTGTTTTCCCCGACCAACGCGTCTTCGCCTCTCGCATCCCGCATCCCGCGTCTCTTCTCTCGTCCAATGGAAAAAAAAAATTCTACTCGCTATTTCCCAAACGCCATTCCGTTTCCTGTCGATTCTAAAAATAACTTGCTCGCTTCGTTCGTAAGTAAGAATTATTCTCTCGTTCTTTTTCAATCTTTTTTTTTTTTTTAAATATCTCAGGAAAAATATTATTTTCAACGGTTCGAGCCATAAATCTCACGAATGAAAATGAAAATCAAACCGTCGTTTTTATCAATTATTCTATTGATTTTATCTTCTTCTTCTTTTTTTTCTTTCTTTTAGATATTTCGATCAACGAATCACAAATCAACGCATCATATTTGTTAATATTGAACGAATCGTTTCTTACTTCTTCTCTCAAAATTCAACAAAAGTGTGAGATATAAAAAAAAAAAAAATCTGACTTTGTTCATTATCTCTTTTTGGCAAATTAAACAATAAAATTTTTATTAAACATTATCGAACGCGTAATGGAAAAAATATTTAGATCTTCTTGCTGCGGAGATACGAGAAAAAATTGATTGGGGTAATGTAGATACACTTGTTCTATTGCGTCTCATTTTAGTTGTTGCGGCTAAAATTATACTTGTTTATCTGTATATACATGCGCTGTACTGGTCGTCGTAATAATATTCAGATTTAAGTCCATCTTGCTGCAACCAGGGGCGGTGTTTGGTCGATACTTGGAGGAGGGATTGGTTGGCAACGGCCCAACCACCGCTGTAATTCACCCCCTCGGATTTCTGTCGCGTATATTATATTGGTCTCGGCCTATATATACACCCTAGATATCGCCTGACTGACCGTTTCAAAATGGCGAATACTTATTCCTCCAATTCCTCCGTTCCATGATAATTTTAAACAAATTTTTATTTTATACGTGTTGCGATATTATTATTTAAAATTTTTTTCGTACTTGCAATCTTTCGAAAAACAACGTTATTTAAATGAAAATAAATTCTCGAGAATGTACAACGCGATTATGCAAAGCGAGATCGATGTACTTTTGAAAGACATTCTCTTGGACGAATTGGGCGATTACGATTTTTGTCACGCGTCTTCAACTTCGTATCTTCTTTCACCTCTTCGACGACGATCACTTGTGATTTTTTTCGAAGAATCGATCAAGGAAAAAAAGGGGGGAGAGGGGGAAAGAACGAGTAACGATTAAATAAACGAAGAAATAGGAGCAAGGGAAAACTTTTGAAGTTTTATAAAATTATTAAAGATAAAGATATCGATCCCGCTGCTGGTAGCTTTTTCGATTTTTTATTTCTCGCTCCAATTCCTCCAATGATAAAATAACCGTGTTTCGAAACGGGTAATCGCGTAGAGGATAAATAACGATTCCATCATGGGTAACAATAAATTAATATCTGCACAGGAAATATGCAAATTGCAGTTCGAAGTATACATATTATCGAGGATTCCTGGATGATTGCAGGTTTTTCTTTAATCAAATTCCACCTTCCGTTCCAGTCCTTTTGAAACGTTTCGAGGAAGAGACAAGCCAGAAAACTGTTATTCGACATTGTATAAACAGGTTCTGTTCTTGTAAACTTGTTTTAATATCTGCCTCAATGCATGTCCTTGTTCTGTCTTTATATTTTATAAGCGTCGCGAATCACGGCTGCATTCACGGCTATTTTATGAATTTATATTTAACCAAACTATATATTTTGCGAAAATTTAAATATATTCCCGAGAAGTATAAAAATTTGAAAACTCTTGCAAATTAGAGAAGATTAGAAAATTTTTAAATTTAAAATCTTTAAATCCGAAAATTCTAAAATATAATGGAAATTTGAGAAGGGAATTTTTAAAATTTGCAAATTCGAAAAATCTAAAATTAATTCTCGAACGATCGTTTAAAATTTTCAAAATCGAAATTTTGCAAACTTTGCAAAATCTTTCTCCCCGCCTTTGAAAATTTTCTCAAGACTCTACCTCTCCTCTTTTAAAGGTGGAAAAAATTCTACCATTTGTTTGGCGAGCGTACAACGTGTTTGTCCATTTCGAGCGCGACAACGTCCATTAATGGGTCGAGCAAACTCGCACGACGCGTATTTTCAAGCCCAAGTCTTAAAGGCGCCCTTACACTTGCCCGGGAGCGTGAATGGCCGACCGGAAGCGACGAGTTATGACACTTGACATGAAGTCTTAAGCGCTTAAGTGTGGCCAGGCTGCGTGATCACATTGTATTCCTCGTACACAACCGCGTTTACGCTTGCAGCTGAGAAACGTGGCCTGATTCTTATTCTTCTTCCCTGTGCGATCACCGTACGTAATAATATTAAATTATTTCGAATCTGTTAACAATACATCCTTCGATTACTATTAATCGTGCGAAACAATTTTATAATATATATATTTATATTAAGTAATTTATCCAAGATTATAATTTTAAATTCTTACGAGGAGGATTTCAAATATCATTTTGAATTTTTATTGAACGACACGAATACCTTTGTTCAGGTACGTTGATCCTTTGAGAGGTTAAATCTTTCGAGTGCCAATTGCCCGTGAAATTTCTTCCCATTCAATGAATTCGCACTTTCTCTCATTGTTGGATCGTTAAAATGAACTCTTTATTATTAAAATTACATTCTCATTAACAGCAATATAAATTTCACAAATATTTACAATCTTTTCTTGTTTTGAAATTTCTTATTTCGATTAAAGTTCTTTGAACTTCCCGATACTACTTCGCTTTAATAATTAAATCGAATTCGTTGGATTTCAATCTTGCGCAAACAATCTTGTTTGAATACATAAATAATTCATCGTGTGAACTGTAATTATATTATATTATATACACAGATACGATGACGGATTTGGAAATCTCGTTGTGAAATTTTTTTTCTTTTTTTTGTTTTTCTTTCTTTCTTTCCTTTTTTTTTTTTTTTTTTTTTCTAAAACCAATGAAAACGTTTCAATCGAGCCTTTCGATCTCGTCGAGATTTTTCATGGCCGTCCGCATTTCCCATCAATTTGTCACCTCTTGAAATGTTACGTTTACGCTTTAGAAAATCCGCTGACCTTTCACTCGAAAGTTTCTTTCCACATTGAACTTCGTCGTTTGAAATTTCCATTGACCCCAGATTGCGGAACGTAAATCGAACGCTAAAAAATAAATATTTATTCAATCTATTTCTGTTCCGAAAGATAATAAAATCTTCAGATACCGGGCAATAGAAGAGTAGGATATATATTATGTTTGCGAATAAAATATCTCGTATCTTAAAATATTATTACGCGTTAATGCAATTATTTAAATTTATTGGCTATGAAAAATTGAAAATAATATAATTGACTCGCGACGTAAAATATAATTATTTTTCGACGTTATTTATTTTCTTCTCTCAAAGCACGTAAGTGCTTTAATTCCTCTTAATATCATGTAGAAATAATGAGAATCGTCAAAAAAAGTGAAAATAGATTAGATCTTCAAATTTATTATTTCTATTCCACATTTTTATATTATATTAATAAAAATTATTTAATAGATAATTATACACCGCTTATCATAATCGCGTTTAATCACATATATTAAATAAGTCTAAGATAATTCTAGCGTTAATTATTGTCTATCTTTCTCTTCTATATCTTTTCCCACAAGCGAACGTAGTAAAATTCCAAGAAGAAAATCTCTTTATTGTCGAACGATTTCGAAATCAATCTTTTACGCGTCTACGGCCGAAAGACCTTTAAGAAGACCTCGAGGTGAAATATATATTCATGCTTCTTGGTTGTTCTCACCTGCGATGCCTCGTTACTCCCACGCGGATCTCTCTCCCTCTCATTCCCCCTCCTCTCTCTCTCTCTCTCTCTCTCTCTTTCTCTCTCTCTCTCACTCTCTCTCTTTCTCACAGAATATCTGAATTACCTGCATCCTCGTTCCTATAGGCCTTGCAGAGAAATAACTGAGATTTGTAAACGAGGATGTTCGTAGCATTTATGCTGCGTCGTTTCTAACGTTTACTTACCGATACAATATTTAATTAAGAGAATAAAATTTAGAGAAACGCGTTTGAAAGTTTTTCGAAGTAAGATCGAAATCGTGATCGAAATTGTCATATTAATGAGAATGAATATTATTTTTTTTTTCTTTTTTTTTTGAATGGAAATATTCTGATGGAATATTTTTCGCTAATTTTAATTTTCTAATTATATGTTTAATTATAGGTGATTATAATAAATAGGCTCATTCTACACGAATTTCGAAATTATTTATGACATTTTATTTCTTCGCGACAGAAATATAGAATAATTTTTACAGAATTTTGTGAAAATTAATATACGGGCTGTATAATATTATTTGTTTCTGGTATGTCATAAAGTCATATTATTAGAAACGTATATTTAAACGGCATTTACGTTATCGCGAAATTTTTAAGGCCAAATTTTATCAGATAGCGATTCATGGGCGAAAAAAAGTGGAACGAAATTAAAATTGGATTCTTCTATTCAGGTCGGAGCGATTTCGTCGGAGGCATAGACAATGAGGCCCTGGACTTCTCCCAGTTGGAAGATTTTATCAACAGCGACAGCGAACAACCGGCCACGTGAGTAATTTAAGTAAAAATACACCTTCGTTCCTGTCTCTCGAACCTTGATTAACATCGACCGAAAAAAACTTTCCAAAAAAGAAAATCTTCTTTAAGATTCTTTCCTTTTAAATTCCTAACGTATCGAAACAATTTTATTTCCAATCACTTATTGGTTTATTTATTTATTATTATTATCGATACAATATTTAATTAAGAGAATAAAATTTAGAGAAACGCGTTTGAAAGTTTTTCGAAGTAAGATCGAAATCGTGATTGAAATTGTCACATTAATTTTTCTTTTTTTAAATGTAGTTGTATTCTTTTTCTTTTTTTTTTTTTATTTTTTAACGAGAACATTCGACTTCGATCGGAAGCCATCGTTAACGCCTACATCGCTCGCTCGAGCACGTGCCCGTTTGTAATATTTTGTCGCGAATCGAATGCATATCGAATGCTTATCAATCTTTACACATCCTTGACTTTCCTCCGACCCTTACGACTTAGATCGCGAACTTTTACGCGTTTATGCAAAATTCGAATAAAATATTCATTCCAACTCCGTCTCTTTTGATCGTACGATTTGCAATTTATTATCATTAAAAATCGAATAAAATTTGTAAAATTATCGAAATAAGAATTGAACGTCAACGTTTTCATCTCGAAAATGCGCGACAATTCAAAAACTTTTGCACGGAAGGGAAAAAAAGATGGCGGCGTGTGACAGAAGCGGACGCTCACGCTTTCGAATAGACACGTGTAAGTTTGTAGGAGTGTGCGTGGAAAAAGCAGACAGATATCATGCGGTGGCGAGGTGTAATGATATAATGACAGAGACAGGCTGGACGGAATTGATGGAATCAGTGGTTGGTGTGTTAGGCACTGGTAATCCAACCTAACGCACTCGTCCCATTAAAGGCCCCGCGCTGATCTCAGGAACAGATTTCATTCACGGATCGAATGGAAGCTCTTCACCCTTGATCCCTTGTTGCGTCGCGGGTCAATGGGATTAAAACCGATGGAGACTGACCGTTATTTGCTTTTGTTCCGCGTTTTTCTTGCGTTTGTTGCAACAACGCCATCAAGAAAGTTTGACCAAGTTGGAGAAAGTACGTGGATTCGAGCACGAAGGATATTTTTGGATAATTTTACCGGGGATATTTTGAATTTTTAATTTAGAAGATTTAGAAGAAGCGTCTATCTATGGATATGAAAAATTTGCGGATTTCAGAATTTAGGGAAAAGTATTTATATATATATAATTTTGGGATTTTAGAAATTTATTATTCTATGATTTATTTATTTTGTGATTTATATTGCGTTGTGGCTCGAAACTAAAATCGAAAATTAATGTTTATTATACGTATGTACGTAACGCCTCTAATTTAAGCTAGAGATGTTGAGAGAAAGTTGTCGAGAGAATATTATAAATTTGAGAATTATCGTTCGGCACGAATGGAAGATAAAATTCTTTCGAATAAATTTACAAAAAATGAAATGGGGGAAAAAAAGGAAAAAAAAAAAAAGAAAAAAGGAAAAACTTAATTATTTTCAAGCCGGTAAGAAAATATTCAATGGTAATTGGTACAAATTTCAAGAATCTGTAGATTTGAAATCTTGACAGGATAATTACATAATTATCAACAATATGTAATCGTATGTATTATTCAACGTAAATCATTATTCGGATTGTTATAAAAGTGGAATTCATGGAAAAACTCATGATGAAAAACCCAAAATCAAATTTTCCTGTTGATAATGAATAGAGGTAATAAATCGAGTTACGAGCAATCGGTTAATAACATCAATTTATTAATGGTAATTTTCGTAGTTACTGATATTAGATTGACTCATTAAATATAATTTTCTAACAATCCTTGAATAATTATTCCGTACGAGAAAAAAAAAAAGATCATTATACAAGTATAAATTTTTGCAAGAATAATCGACAGGAAATTAGAACTGCATTTTTTCCAGAAGATAATAAACGAAAATCATACCTAATTAAATTTGAAATTTAATTACTTTGATCAATTTTAAAATTTATAAATCTTGTAAGGAATCGATGTAAGTCCGCTCGTTTATCTTGTACTTTACTCTAATTTTGTCGTTAATTTTTTCATTCGCAGATATTTCGCGGATACCCTTGCACACAATGAGAACGGGGGTGGAACGACGACTCACGGTGGTCGTGTGGAGGCGGCAACCACTCAACAACCACCGTCTCGATTGCCATCGCCGATTACCCAAAGTCATCCGGTCTCGAGTACGTGCACATCCGCTACCACCACTGTACCAAACGGCGCCGCTTACAAGGATCCGCAATCGTACGTTCACCCGTAAGTCGAGTTTAGTCCAAAGGCTAGAATGTCAACCTTGCGTGGATTAAGTCATTCGAGACTTTACAAGTCTTTAAATCCTCATAAGCTGATCACGGTTAATGCATCTTTCTTTTTTATATAATATGTGTACAAGTGTTCTTTAAGCGTTTAAAATTTTGCAAATTTTTAAGAATTTATGCGGAAAAATTGTTGAAACAAGTTTATAAACATTTTTGTGTTCGTTCGTGATACGATACTTACGTTTCAGACATGCATTACCAGAAAGCCCACCAGACAGTGGTAGCGAGCCACCATACTCTCCACCAGGTCACAACGATACCCAACATGTACATTCACCGCGTAAGTTGTGAAAATATTTTGTCAAAAACCAAATATTATTATCAAACGGTTTCTCCAGAGATCAAATTAATTTGCAAATGAAATTGCAGATCAAAAGGTAGCTCTTCAAGAAATGCTTCTTCATCACCAAGGGAATCAAGCAAATTATGCTCCAAATTTATTACCTTCTTCGCCAAGAACCTTAACATCCTCCACGGATCCAATGCTATTAACTCATACAGTGCTGACATCTCATCTTACCTCAGGAACGTCCAATATTCAATCTCAACAACAGCAAATAGGTCAGACTTTAGTGCCTTTACCGCACGAGCATAGTCCTGGTAACATTAACACATTGTACTCGTCGCTACAATCTGCTCCTAAGAAGAGAAAATTAAGCCAGGATGGTCTTGTCCATGTGAAGCAGGTGCAACGAGTAAAATTTTTTTTTACTGTCATGATTATACTAAAATAATTAAAGACGTATCATGTGAAGACTCAGAGGAGTATAAAATGATAAATTTAGTTTTGTTTCTCTACATTTAATTATATATATTCTATTGAAGAATTTTTTCTTATACATAGAAAAAAAATCAACAAAAATAAAATAATCACCTCTGTGATCTTCATATGTATATTACTAGCTTTAAATACATTTCTTTTTATACGTTTCATACGTTTTTATACTTATAAATATTTTTTTTATTAGATTCAATTAGAAATTAAAATCTTTCTTGAAATAATATTATATATATTGATGCTTTTTTAGGAACCTGAACTAGGAACTGTAGAACACAGTTGTAGTAGTAGCAGTGCTGTTCTCGATGGCGATGAAGTGACGGATAATAGCTACATAGACGCCAGTTACCAGTGTATCCGATTTCATCCCTTTCAGCAGACATCCTGGCATGTTCTCTGTGATCATAATCTGAAAGAACTTCCAGTGCCCCACTATCGGGTGGATGCGGATAAAGGATTCAATTTCAGCAACTCGGACGACGCGTTCGTGTGTCAGAAAAAAAATCATTTTCAGGTAAAAATTTAAAAGAATAATATCGAACATAATACTTTCTTTATATTATTCCATTTCATTTTATATTATATATATTAATTTATTTATCAAATCAATATTTTTCAGATTACTTGCCATGCTCAGCTTCAAGGTGAAGCGATATTTGTCCGTACTGGTGAAGGGTTGAAAAAGATAAGCAGCTTTCAATTGCATTTCTACGGTGTTAAAGTAGAATCACCGACACAAACGATCAGAGTCGAGCAGAGTCAAAGCGACAGAAGCAAGAAACCGTTCCATCCGGTGACGTAAGTAGTTGCTTAGGCGAACGTGTGAAAATCCATGTACAAACTATTATCAAAATGCATTATTCTTTTTTTGTTTCAACATTTTACATCACATATGAGAAATTATCATGCAAACATTTCGGAATCTTTGGTGCGAAATTTCTAGTCGTTTTCTAAATAAAAATTATAAAATGGTTACGTTACACTAAAGTAGAGCTGCTTTCAGGGTGGAATTAGGCGGCGAGCGTGTTACAAAAGTAACCGTTGGTCGTCTTCACTTCAGCGAAACAACCAGCAACAATATGCGAAAGAAAGGGAAACCGAATCCTGATCAAAGATATTTCCATTTAGTTGTTGGCCTCCACGCTCACACTGCTGATCAAGCCAGTTACCAAGTGGTAGCTCATGCATCGGAGAGAATAATCGTTAGAGTAATTATACTTTTAATTACTATATCGTTTAGATTTAATTTCAAAATTAATTTTTCATGGAAAAAGTAAAATATAATATGCTTAATATCTTAAATTTGAATAGAAAAGTTACAAATGCAAAATCTTTATACTTTAATTTCTTTTAAATTATTTATTAAATAAAATTTGACATTTGTTAAAGATATGAAAAATCAAAGAAAAATTTATTCTATTGTATCGTATTCAAAATAATGTAGGCAAGTAATCCTGGTCAATTCGAGTCTGAAGGTAGTGGCGTAGGTGCAGAAGGTGGTTGGCAAAGAGGAGCAGCACCGGATAGCGTTTATCATGCCGGTCGAGTTGGAATTAATACGGACAGGCCTGACGAAGCTCTAGTTATTCATGGCAACATGAAGGTACTGTTTAACTTATTAATGCTATTTTAATAGATATGATGATTTCATAAAGGAAGGAAACATTATTAATGAATACTCACAGGTGACTGGCCATATTGTTCAACCCAGTGATGCACGTGCAAAGCAAAATGTACAGGAAGTGGACACGCGTGAACAATTGCGGAACGTGCAACAGTTGAGAGTGGTTCGTTACAGATATGCACCAGAATTTGCACAGCATTCTGGTTTAGGTATCAAACAGCAAGAAGACACGGGTGTCATAGCGCAGGAAGTGCAACAAATATTACCGGAAGCTGTATTGCCAGCTGGAGATATAGTTCTTCCAAATGGTCAGAGGATCGAGAATTTCCTTATGGTAAACAAAGAAAGGATATTCATGGAGAATGTGGGTGCTGTGAAAGAACTGTGTAAAGTAAGATTTCTATTTAATTTTTATATTTCATTCTCATTTTTTAAATTTGTTATTTATCTTTATTTTGTTTAGATTTTATTTTAATTCCTAATGATTTGCTTTAAAATTTTATAAAATCTTTCAGGTAACAGATAGTTTAGAAACTCGCATTGATCAATTGGAACGAATAAACAAGCGATTAGCGAAGCTGAAAAGAGGAGACAGTCTGAAAAGTTCGATTAGTACAATCTCTAGTATATCAAGTAACAAATACTCATCCTCTATCAATAGTAAGGCCACTGTACAGGGGAAAGGAAAAAAGAGCGAGCGGGAAGACGAATTTCTATGCAGCAATAAGTTTATCCAAATTATAATTGTTATACTTATTCTTATCATGGCGTTTTGGTAATTAAAATTCTTTCTGATTTTTTAAATTTATTTTTATATTTTATAAATATATTTTATAATACTTGAACTATTATCGATATAATTTTAAATTTCAGCTTAGTTGCAATGGCGACATTATACTTTTTAGAATATCAAAAACGTAGTAGCCTTGAATGGACAGCGGTAGCTAGTAATGGAATGTTGGCTGTAAGACCAGCTCATCCATCAACAGCATCAAGTACACCTAATTATGATTCCCGATATAATTCGTTGTTAGATAGTACGTTGTCGTCTTTGTATACTAAACATGGATCCCATAGTAGAGATTCGGATAGTAGTTTGTCCGTGAGAACGAATGCATTTTCCACGCAAGCGCCTCATACGAAACAACAACTTTATTCTCAAGAAATTACTTGGTATCCTATTAGTCATTCTGGACCACAGCCAAAACTCGAAAAAAATAGGTTTGTAAATATAGGCCTATAGTCTCTTTTTACTTCTTTTCAACTTACAATATTTTAATATATCGTATTAAATTATTTTAGTGAATTTCCTGGAAATTGGTTAAGTAAAAGTGGTGCTGGTGCTATTCCTAGTAATGTAGATGAAAACGATCAAGGATCGGAAGTGGATCCATCTGTAAATAAAGGTCCAATTCCATTGGGTAGACCATCGAATTGTCCCAGACATTTTAGTGAATTTGAAAATCCATGTCAAGTAAGATTTTTTTACATTAAATTTTTCTTTTATATTTATATTATTTTAATATAAATATATAAAATTAATATATTATATATATTATTATAAAATTATTATAAAATTTTAATATAAATTATTTTAATACAAATATTATGTTTCAGATATTTTGTTGTACAGCCAAAATTCATCAATTCGAGGATCCTCAACCAGATCATCCTCCAGAAAAGAAATCAATTTGTAAGTTTTATCTTACATTTTATTATATATATGTTTATTTTTTGAATATAATAGCAAATATTACTTAGTTATATATAATATATATAAAATTGTAATTCAATTTTTTAGCAGATCATATAGAACAACCATTAAATGTTTATGAGGAGAAACGTAAAATAAGTAAAAGTTTCCAGAATGGTATTAGTCCATCCGATCCAAGCACGCAAACACTTGTAAAAGAAGTAATAGTTATTTCCTAAATTTATTAAAGATAATTCTAAAAAATAAAAAAAATTAATCATACAATAATATTAATTATTATATTTATTATAGAATAATTACAAGTATTTACATAAAAGAACAAGAAGAGAAACCAGTAGTGGAGATTGGACGGAAGTTGCTAGTAATGCTGCAGGATCATTACCACCAGAACCAAAACCACAATTGTGGATAGTGGCAGAAAGTTTTAATATATCACTTGATCAAAAATATTGCTCTGCAATTTCCCAGGATACACCAAATAATATATCTTGCATCATTCCTTTATCCAAATACATGCCAGATGTTCAACTTACATTACACTTTATGTAAGTTTTCTATATAGAATCTAATTTTTATTTTCATGAAGTAAAAGTATATTTTATAATTAATTTTTTTAAAATTTCTATTTTAGTGGAATGTCTTGGTATGGACAACTAGTGCAGCAATGCTCTTCACCAACGAATCCTGGTATTGACGAAACTTTGATGTGTGGCCGGAAATATACAATGCAACAGCAAACTCAATTGAAGGTTGATATTGAAACTAACAATCAGCGGGGAGATCAATCTTTTTCTCTCGATGTTGCTCATTATCTCAGGAGAACATTGAGGTTTCGGATACCTACTGTACAACCTCAAGAGGTAGTTAATTTAATATATTATTATTGTCTCGAATTTCATCATATTTTTTACTAATTTTTTATTTATTTATTTATTTATTTTTTTTTTTTAGAATATCTGTAAGAACAAACATGGTATTGATTACTCGGAATACACGTTGCACTTCTATCGAGATTGTGAAGAATAATTAATTTCTTAAAAATACGATTTCATAAAAAAGATTTTACGTTTCTGTTCAAAAGATTATTGAATATCTACACAACAGGACCTTCTTGTGCCTTCGTAATATATTTTGTCTTCACTTTCTTCAAGTATGAAATTATATACTTACAATATGTTTGGTAATATATCTATACATATCGTCAAATAAATCTGTAACTGTATTTTATATATTATTATAATACACTATATAGTATAATTGTTGTTCAATAGAAACGAACTCAAGCAGTAGATATAACATAATAATATTTAGAATTATCATTTCATTAGTTAGAAAAGTATACGTGCTTTTTTTCAAGATATATAGAACGTGAATAGTTGATGGGTGATATTAAATTTTTTATAATTTTTTTCTATGAAAAATATGAAAATAAAATCAATGATAATTTTGATATTGTTAAATGTAAAATATTGTATAAAATAAATTAAATTAATATTAAAGATTCAATTTTAAAGTTGACTCAATGCATATATACATTTTAAATAAGAATTCTCTCAAATCACACCCATCAACTATAATTAAGGATTAACGTCCCGTTCCAATCATTTTTACCTTATTTATACTCATGTACAGAATATTGTTATGTTATTATTATTATCGGATACATATTCGTACTATATTAAGAAGAAAAGAAATTAATAATCGATGTTCCAGCCAAATTATATTTTGATTTTAATTTATAGAATATATATTTTGTACAGCACATTTCATTCTATTTCATGATTTACATAAAGTGAACTTTAATAAAATTTGTAATGAAATAAAAATTTTACAGATTTTGAAATAATAACGCATAATTCAACAAAAGATATCTATTTGTTAAAAGTGTACAAAAAAATATCGATTATTCAGTTGATTAATTTCTTTCTTAAGATCTTTTCATCTTAAATTTTATTTAAATTTGACGCAAATTCACATTATCATAGAATTTCAAGTTCCTAAAAGATATTTGTATAATAATTATTCATTTTATATAGTAGAATTAATTTCATACATTTTATTTGCATTTACTCTTTAAACAATTATTCATTGCATGCGAATATGATCATCATTAATATGACCAAATTATTGTCATTATTGTTGCTAAACACAATATCTAATAAGACTACTATTATCATTATTTGTAATATAATCATATATAAACTAGCAATTTTTATTTAGCGAGATTCCAAATGCTATCTTGTTATTAATTATGTTACTTTTAAAAGTCATGAAAAATGGAGGAAATAATATTCTATATACATATAGATATATATTTAATATATATATATATATATGATTATTAATGTATTTATTTTTAAGTTAGATTAAAAAAGGATTGTCGTATATACTTTTTAGAAATTACAATTTATTTTAAAATTTCTTTCATATTTTTTTTTTATATCAATGAAACAAAATCTCAATTCTTTAGTAAAATTATTATTCTTTTAATTTTGTATTTATATATAAGTATATACGACCAAAAATAAATAATGCGCCATTTCTGCCGTCCATATGTTTTCCTTACGCGAAGATATCTTATTGTAAGTTTTAAGTGAATATAAATATAATAACGTACATATATATATATATATTTTTACAAAAGAATAAACTCTCATACAGAGTTTATCTAAATCGTAAATCATGTAAAAAGAACACAACGCTATTGTACAGTAATTATATATAATTGAGACAAGAAATTCCATACATAATATATAACATATTGAAGAATTAAAAATCATGATTAGTTTAATAGTAATGTAAGAAGATTTAATTCCAAGATATTTTCCATAATTCCATTCCATTTTTAATATTTTATTCATTTGCAATATAATTTCCTGTTTTTGTGAACAGATTTATCACAGATAAAAGAAGATAAAATTATCGAATTTTGAATATTAATATTATTGTAATACAATTATATAATTTATACAATTAATATATATATAATTATATATGTATATTTAATATATATATAACAAGCCTGCATATGATATTACAGTAATATTAATTTTTCATTATATATAATTGTTCACAATTATTTTTATCTGTACAGAATTTGTTTAAAAAAGGAAAAGGAAAAAGATTCTGTATAAAACACATATAAGAAAGAAGGATATTATATAATTTTTTTTAAAGATTTTATGAATAATCGATATTTGTATATTTTTCATAATCATTTTCGGATTTTTTAAAATATTTTATTTGCTTTTACATTCATTATTGCATTGCTGCAATGTATTAGAACTTATTATTGTTTTATATTTTAATATATATCGATTGTTATCATAAAGAAACAATTTAAATATTTATACATTCGATTTATCTTGCAGGATAACTTCGTTCGAAGATATTATTTTTTAAATAAAAAGAAAATAGAGAAAGAGAAAGAAAAATGAAGTTAATAATAATATTACAAAATATAAAGCAGAAGTTTTCTGATATTCTTGAATATAATTCTTGAAATAAGAAATAAAAAATGTCTATAACGATAACATTTCATAAAAAAATATAAATCTCTTTTAATATAAGTATGGTAATCTTGTAAGTTTTAAATAATATCAATAGGATTTGTACATATAGTTCTTAGAATATAATGATGTACATCTAATGATAAAAATATCATTTTTTGTAGAATTCGTCTTTAAGTGAATTAAAAATTATATGTAATTATACATAATTAAGGTTTTCATAAGAAATATGACTCTTATCTAATTGTAGCAAAAGCATGAAGTCTATAGTTTATGATTGAATATAAGTAATTTTAATGGAACATAATTACTTAAAATTGTAATACTATAAATAATATTAATAACGATCATGTAATAGATATATGTATATTGTAGATATTTTCTTAAAGAAAATTTAAATTGAAGAACAATTAAAAATGTTAGAATATTTTTCTGTTCTTCTGAAAAGAAATAAAAAATGATAAGAGTTTTTTTATTATGAGCACTTTAATTATGATTTCTCTGATTGAGAAAGATAAATTACAAAATTAATTATATAATAAATTACGGTATATAAAATTTCTTAATAATATTAGGTTTGGATCATTTGATCTTCGACGTTTAAATAAATAAGTCATTTATTTCAAAACTTAAAAAGTTAAAATATAAATATATATTGAATATTTATCAAAAATATAAAAATTGAAGTTCTGTTTAAAAATTCTGTTTAAAAATTAAAAAGAAATAAGCGTTTTGTTAAACATTTTATTTTCTTATTATCAATATCTGGAAAAAGAATAAAATTTGTAAAATTCAAAATATTCATCATTAAAATTAATTTTAATATAATCAACTAAAGTGAATATGACAGATTAGAAAAAAAATATAATAAAAAAACAAAAAAAAAAAAAAAAGAAATATTGATCGTAATCAATAAATAAATTGAACGATTGAAACACTAGTCTCATTATACTCTGTTTTAATATAACATGTTTCTCTTTTTTATTAATATATATCTATTCATATTTTATCAATGTGATGATTTAATCGTCGTTCGTCGAATATCGATTAGAATTATTTATATATTGATTAGAATTATGTATATTTGAACAAAATAAAAATGAAGAAAAGGGAAACGCATGTAAATGTTATATTCATATATTTATGAACATATTGTTAAGACAAATACTATATATATAAATATATATACACGTAATGAATCTGTATTCGCAGGAAAATAAAGATATTGCTCCAGAAAAGATATTCTTCTCTTTATTTTGCATAAAATATTTTGATATAAAGTGAAATTGAATATTATTAATTAATTATAATAGTAAATCAATTATTAATTGTTATTTAATTAATTAAAATTAATTAATTTATTTCTGATAAGTTATTGTCTGCGTTAATAGCAAGTATAGATAAAAAAAAAATAAAATTGTATGAGAAGAATAGAGATAGAATAAAAATTATAGATCCGTGTCATCTTCAGAATACTGCAAATGAAATATATAAATAAAGGATAGCTTACTAATAGTGTAAAAAGGATAGATTAGATAAGAATTAATTAGCGCCATCTCCTGAATGTTAAAGGAAGGATAAAGTAAAATGAGAATTAACGAGTAGCGACATCTCTTGCAAATTCTTCGTACTAAAATATTCTTGGTACTCAAGAATATGGCATGAACATCTAATTCTCATTCTACTTTATCATTCTTTTAATTTCGAAGAAATGTTTTTATTAATTAAAAGATGGCACGGATGGTCAATTCTTACACCATTTTTATCCTTCTCATTCTTTTTCATTACATGTTAATCTTTTTCAAATTTATCATTTCTGATACATTCCAGAGATGGCGCTGATTGGCATTTCCAACATATTTCAATCATCTACATATAATTCATTTCCTTATCTATATTTGCATAAAAAAATTATTCTCTGAAAAGAAAACTGATATATCCCATTAAATTTATTGTCTTTTTTATTTTTGATTAATTAATTAAAAATTTTAATAAAATCTATAAAGAAAATCTATATCATAGTATTATGTATATATAATTTTACACATTTATACATCATATTCATATTTTATACAAAATAAATACATATTTATATCTTAAATGTCACAGTTATAAATCTTTCAAATAATATAATTAAAAAATATAATAATAAGATACATTCTTCGTAAATTATACAATATACATATATATAATACAAGTTTTTATTTTTTTACAGTTTCTGGACGTACAAGAGATTGAAAAAGTAAGTATACAAAAAATAAATATAAAAAAGGTACGTATATAATTAGATTTAAGTAAAATGATGAAAAAAAGATTTGTTCCCGAAAATACCAATGTAAAAAGGTAAGTATATAAAGGTAAGTACTAGGTAAGTACATGATATTCTCAAAAAAATTAATGTGTCATTTTTCTCTACTTATATTTTCACAATACAAAGAGAAAATTTTGACAAAAAAATTTTTGGCTAAATTTTCGACTTTGCATTAGGAGAACATGAGTTGATAGGAGGTCGTTCGAGAAATTTTTCCAAGAATTTCGGCAGTTCTTGGAAATGACGTCAAATTCTAAGAATTTTAAAAATTCCTAGAAATGACGTCAAATTCCTGGAATTTTCCAAATTCCTGAACGAACGAAATTTTTGGCTAAATTTTCGACTTTGTATTAGGAGAACATGAGTTGATAGGAGGTCGTTCGAGAAATTTTTCCAAGAATTTCGGCAGTTCTTGGAAATGACGTCAAATTCTAAGAATTTTAAAAATTCCTAGAAATGACGTCAAATTCCTGGAATTTTCCAAATTCCTGAACGAACGAAATTTTTGGCTAAATTTTCGACTTTGTATTAGGAGAACATGAGTTGATAGGAGGTCGTTCGAGAAATTTTTCCAAGAATTTCGGCAGTTCTTGGAAATGACGTCAAATTCTAAGAATTTTAAAAATTCCTAGAAATGACGTCAAATTCCTGGAATTTTCCAAATTCCTGAACGAACGAAATTTTTGGCTAAATTTTCGACTTTGTATTAGGAGAACATGAGTTGATAGGAGGTCGTTCGAGAAATTTTTCCAAGAATTTCGGCAGTTCTTGGAAATGACGTCAAATTCTAAGAATTTTAAAAATTCCTAGAAATGACGTCAAATTCCTGGAATTTTCCAAATTCCTGAACGAACGAAATTTTTGGCTAAATTTTCGACTTTGTATTAGGAGAACATGAGTTGATAGGAGGTCGTTCGAGAAATTTTTCCAAGAATTTCGGCAGTTCTTGGAAATGACGTCAAATTCTAAGAATTTTAGAAATTCCTAGAAATGACGTCAAATTCCTGGAATTTTCCAAATTCCTGAACGAACGAAATTTTTGGCTAAATTTTCGACTTTGTATTAGGAAAACATGAGTTGATAGGAGGTCGTTCGAGAAATTTTTTGAGAAATTCTAAGTCCAAAGTTTTTCGATTAAAATTTTGTCTTCTTATTCGGAGAATATAATAAATGAACAAATGATAAATAAAATTTTAAAGATATGTAAAAATAAAGATTTTTTATCAAATTTTATGTATATTATATCTATATACTTACCTATACTTACCTGAAATACTTACCATATTGATACTTACCTCATTTGAGTGGATTTTAAAAATTAATCATTTTTTTTGACAGTTTACTTAAATCTAAGTTTTTATCTCTACATACTTACCTATATTATGCTTACCTGATCAGCGATTTCAGCGTTACAGTAATTTTTCTTCTCAATTAGGATTCCTTCTATCTATAAATAATTATGGTTAACCAAGAAACAATTTGAAAAATTCTAGAAAACTTGTATATCATTCTGAAAAATAAATGACCGAGCTTTTTCTGTGAGACATCCCAAAATTCTGAAGATTATTTATAACGAATAATGCTTTTTTTCACAAGGAATTCACTTATTTCGTCGTTTGGATTGTCATCTTATGAAATTTTGACTCGAATCTGCTATGATTACGTAATCAACTTGACTCGGATTCGTCTAATTACTTGATTCGATGTTGGCTGCCAAATGTCCGTTGACTTTGCTGCGCAGTTAGAGGAATTAAAAATTCCTTCTGCAGTGGATATATTTATTATCATTTCGATGGCCAATCGTAGTATATTTGATTACTTCATGTAATTTTCCTATAATATTATAAGAAAACATGCTTATAATTAATAATGATATTAATGATATTAATAATTAATAAAAAAGAATTTTTTTCTTACCTCTAAAAAAGATTTGACTTTAAAAGAAGTTCGATTTGTATGAAATTCTCTGGAATTATTTATTTATATCTTGCATATGCTTATAACGTGATTTTGCGTGTTATGTTAGAGCTTCATTCTGTTTTCTCACATTATCCCCTGTTTCTTTCTTTGTGTCGAAAAATGGAGAGGAAGGAGAAAAATATACAAAAATATTATTATTTCCAAACAAAAGTAATCTTATTAATATATAGATTGATAAAATTTTTAATTATGAATTAATTTAAAAACAAAAATTAAAAACAAAAATTTAAAAACAAAATTTTTATTGAATATATATCTATAAATATAATTATTAGGATTATTATTATAAAGAATTGTAAAGACATAAAGAAGTAACAAAGTTTAGATATATATACCAACTTATTTTGACTTATTTTTTACGATCTATGATCGACAGGTTCGAATTACAAGTTTCTTTAAAATATTTAATCCAAAAAAAATACATTCTAAATACTTCCTAACGTAATAACAAATATTTTTAATAATAATAATATTTTGATAATAAATTTTCATCATACATGTAAATATTATTTTTTTATTCAGTCAAGAAAACTACCTAATAGAGTCACGAATAAATATTTGTGAATCACGTATTATCTAATGCTAATAGGAATTTTATTTATAGGTTATTTAATACTAGACTTACACATTGGCCATCTAGATGGCACTATGATCATTGATAACACTAAAATTAATTTAAATTAAAAAAAAGGTTAGAATATTAGAGGTTACAATCCTTTTCTGTTTGAGATTAATAAAATTAATCAATAAAATAATCGATAAAAAAAAGAATCAATTAAACTATCTAGATTAAAAAAAAGATTAAAATATCAATTATTAAAAATCTTTTCATAGGAGAAAAAAATTATTAAAAATCTTTATACTAATAAAAATCTTTTATGAAATGAAATAAGTACTCACATATATTTCTGGTCTTTTTCTCATTCTTCTTTTAGCATGACGTCTCAGGCTGATAGCTATGCGTGGAACCGTAAAAGGAGCATCCACCGAATCTGCACCGGAAAATCCGAATTAGATCTGTTTCTGCATCGTCAGCCGCGATCAATGAATGGCTACGTCAGCGACAACGTTAATAACAACGAACTATAACTCGATACGAATCGCATCGTACGGCTTGTAGCGTTCTTTCGAGGACGTTGCACTAAATTTACCTACGATGCGTCAGAATTTTCGGTTTTTCAATAGCGCCGGGAATACACCCAGCATTCGTGGATCGGCTGTTTAGAATCGAAATGATTCATGATTCATGTTGAATGAATGGCGAACGTGACCTGTTGCGTGGGTCAGTGAAAAGAGGAAGGAGAATTGTTTAATTAGAACGGATGTAGAATATTTGATATTTCAAGACGTAGCACTGGTTATCGGTTATAAAATTTATAAATTGCAAGTATTCAAAATGTTAATTAACATGTTAATAAATTATTATCCAAAATCATCATTTTAGTCATATTAACAAGATAAGATATCACAAAAATTATTCGAAATCTATTTTTTAATATAATTTTATAATATATTTTAATATATCAAAACTTTTCTAAACTTTTCTCGTTAAACGAAAATCAAATTCTAATTATCATTTTGGAACAGAATCTATAAAATTGATCTACATGATGTTCACATGACAATTTAGAGAATATTTAACGCGAAAACATTGCCAAAATGACACCGGAACGAGTATGGATATATATATACATTCATCTTAATGAGGAAAATTACCCGTTTCTCAAATTAACTTCAGAAACCAGAAACGTCACTGATGAGATGACGATATATGAGCTTAATCAGACACCAGAACGAGTTAAGAATGGCCATAAATCACGGGCCATGCGCGATTCATGACTTTCGAACTTGCTAGAAATTTTATCAACGATTATTGTCTTAAATAAGATGAAAGATCGATGTTTTTGAAACGCTTATTTAGGTGCCAAAAAGAAATTTGGAATCCGTTAATGATTCATACATGCGACACGTGTCAGGTTATATGTTGAATGAATAAAGAGAATTATGAATATATATTAATGACTATGATTATAAGAAAATATGTATATTAAACTATGTGAAGAAATAAAAATTGAATAAAGATTTATGAAGTTTCAAAGAACTATCTTGAATACAATTACTATTGCGATTAACAAAATATTTAAGAATAAAATACCAAAGCGAATAGATCATTCATTCACATCTGTGTTCTAAAGCAATTGTATATCTATTCAAAGTACAGCCAAAACAATGGCCATGTGCAACGACTGGAATTTCATTGAAAAATAGTATTTAAAATTAGCATGGAATGCAAAATATTCGTATGTATTGATCTAGACGAAGGTTTAATCTTACATTCACGTATATTTTCTTTTATAAACGTACAACCCATGTTTCCTTGAAGTATGAAATTCCAAGAACGAAAGATCTTAAAATCAAACCGTATTTCCAATCATCTATATTCTCATTTAATATTCGCTATTAATAAAGTAATATAAATACGCGACAGGAACTTAAAATGAAATATCAGGACATGCGATGTTACATACGAAATGCACAGTAATATTCTAAGTGCAATTTATTCTATTAATTAAAAGTTGTTGTTTGTTTAAGATATCGTCTATTCTGACTATATTCCATTAATGTATAATATATTAAATGTATGTTTATATTATGTTCATTTCAATTCTAAATATCTTCAAAATGTTTTATAAATAATTGTAATTTTATTATTATTAATTATCCAAAAAATTTCTATCAAATTTTTAATTATTCTATCAAAAAGTAAAATGGATTACTCATACGAAAAAATGAATTGGTCAATCAAGACGAAGGGGTAGATACAACGGCTGCCCCGATCTCGAAGAATTATCATTTCCGGTTCTGTGCCAGTCGAGTGACGCGGCGCGAATTCTCACGGAATTGGCTCGGAAACGCGGCAAATATTTCTTGGTGGAATTTCTTTGGTGGGAGTCTTTTGACGTAGCTGGTATCTTATAAAAAGACGCCCGGCGTCGCGACGCTGCATTCACATACGAGGTACAAGAGACGTCGCAAGAATATTTCCATAGAAACTGATCTCAAACGCGATTTCTTTTATAATAGTATTCATTTGAAACAGTATCAAACAGTATTAGTAGAATCCTTTTCCATTTAATTTTCTATTTCGCTTCTTCGTTTTTCTGCATAGTTTTTATCAGATTAAATTAAAGTTGTATTAAAGTATCCAGAAACGATGTCTTCCGTAATGCTAGTGAGTATAATTTTAAATATGATTATATTATATGTAGATAGTGTTGAATTTCTATATTGTTTCTTAAAACTTAATTAGTAAAACTTACTCATGGTATAACCTGATAATTTTATTTAGCCCTGACTGCGAACTTGAATTTTAAATAAATACTTTTCTGGATCGACTGTATTGCACATTATTTATTTTCTACAATATTTGCGATATTTTTGATCATTTAAATATTTTTTCAATTTGATCATTGCAATTTTCATTTCAGTATTTTACAATTTTCATATCTATTTTTTTACATTCAAATTTTTACACCTATTATAAATTTCAATCAATTTTTTATAGCTATATTAATACAAATTATCAAACACAAATATAAATATACATATATATATTTGTAAATAAACATATATATATATATATAGTATATTATGTATATTGTAAATATACTTACTCATTATATTCACTGATCATTATTCATAATTTTGGTTAAATGATTATTTTTCCGTATTCGAGAAATTTATTTAAATGATGAATATTGAATTTGTCAGAAAGCCATCCAGGTGTCTTTTATGGCCAGAATCGCTCTTTAAATGGTTCAAATTGGCTACTATCCAACTTCGTTGATTAGACACACTGTGGCTCTGCCGTCTTTCTAACACTTGTCCTAAATATTTAGTGCAGTAACCACTAAGCAGTGAAATTAATAAAAATCTAAAAATTTCAGGTTAAAGTTATAAAAATTTTTCTGGCTCTTGTATTTCTATATTGTTTTTAAAAATGGATGTAAGTGATATGTTTATATAAAGCAGTATACGTATGTAAAACTACCTTAAAATTGATATAGGAAGATATTAATTTTTATTGATTATATTTTATATTTTGAAATAAAAGTTATTTTAATTTATTAATTGAAAAAAAAATATTTTAAAGAAAATTTGATAAAATATTTGCTATTAATATATTTATTATAATAATTTTATTTCAAATGCATTATGTTATATTTAGATTTGCAAGAACTAAAACTAACCTAACTTGATTAACAATAGAATTATCAATATATAATATATACGTATATAGATAATAATTAAAATGCTATTAATAAAAATAATTTCATCACTTTCTTAATTTATTTCATAAAGTATAAGTAATTAATTTAAAATTAAAATCACTTTCATACTTATATATTTTTGAAAAATATTATACAAGAAAAATACGATTTAATCCATTTATTGAAAATATGTTTTTATATAGTGAAAGTTATTTAAATTTCCAGAATATTATTTTAATTTTTCCGACTTTCTATGTTTAAAAAAGAAAGAAACGCTGAAGATTTTATTACTGATTCTATTATCCTGATATCAATGAAATATTGTATTTTCAAGTTACTTTCACACTTACACGAATGCTTTCTTAGCTTATTATTCAAAGATTAGAAATTCCACTGTTGATTTCAATAATTCGATGTCAGTTTTTGTTTGACTACATTGTAATCGCGTCGAATATTCCATAAACTTCTTACATTATTATTTATAAACTTTAAATAGGTATTTTATATTTTCTTTTATTGAAAAAGTATTATATTAATTTTAAATATTTCCTGAATATTTTTAGAAAAATATCAAATTATAATACTTAATTTTAATATAAAAATGATCGAAATACGATTAAAATAAATTTTATATTCTTTAAATACAATTTTTTTTTATTATTTGCAATAAATTAAAATTAATTTCTATGATTCGATGATTTTTTTTCAGGAAAAACTCAGTGACAAAGTAGCAATGTTCGATCAATATGCAAACAAACACAAAGACAAACAGAATAAAAATCCATTTACTTCCGGTTTAAATATCGAAAAACAAAAATTTTCAAAGGATGAATATGGCAGGTCAGTTTTCAAAATAAATATAATTAACAAGAATATTATCTTTTATGATACGTTTTTTAAAATAAATATTTAATTTCAGACCAGTAGCTGGCTCTTTAACAGACATTCGCGGTAAAAAAGCTGCGGCACATATTTTAAAAGAAGTGCTCGAACTTTGCGAGATCATTCATCAAGAAGGCACACCATGTCGGGACCACCCAGAAATTATTGCGATCACATTTGGAGATTTATTCAATATTTATACCCACATTAGTAATAAATGCGTAGGACTTTTGCTGAGAGCTAGAAAACAGAAATTCGTGGATTTCGAAGGAGAAGTTCTATTTCAGGTAGATGATAATGAATTTTTATACGAAAATTGAAATCAAATATTGCTTGTTAAGAGGAAAATATTTCATAAAGTTTTTTAATAAAAAATTAGAATTACAATGATTGATTATAATTATAATCTGTTACAGAGACGAGATGATGATGTACCAATCTATTTGGTGAAACCTATCACAGAAATTCGTGAAATGTTCAACCAACGAATAAAGGAAATTGCAAAAGAGATGATAGATAGTTAACACTTATTTTCTTCTGAACGAATAATTCCACGCTGAAGTATCTTTAGTCGAACGCATTACCTTACTCATATTTATTATACAACCATAGAAATAACGCGAATGATCATTTATAATTTTTATTCGAGATGAATGTATGATAGTGAGTGAATTTGAAGAATGAACTGATGTAAATCGATAAAAACAATCGAAGAATAATCGAAAGAACAAATATATATTCATGTGATATTTCCATAGAATTATTAGAAATAAAGATCTTTTTATAAAAGAATTCTTTTGTAATCATTATATCTAAAGAACCTCTTCTATTGGATATTTAAGAACGAAGAAAAACAAATAGTGCAAAAAGGACAGAGATAGGATAAAAATTATGAAATCAGCGCCATCTTCAGAGTGCCGCAAATGAAATATATAAAGGAAAACGGAAAATAGTAAGAAAAGGATAGAGATAGAGTAAGAATTGAGTATTAACGCCATCTTTTAAATATTAAAGGTACTTTTTTAAATATCAAAGGATAAAGCAGAATAAGAATTAAAAATCAACGCCATCTCTTGAATATATTTAAAATCTCCCTTTAAAGAGATGTTTTTAATTTTTGAGAGATGGCGCTACTGATCAATTCTTATTTTATCTCTATCTTTCTTTTAATATTTTCTGTCCTTACTTTATATGTTTCATTTGCGGCACACTGAAAATAGCGTTGATTCCGCAATTTTTAATCTATCTCTATCCTTCTCTCTTTGTCTACTTGTTCTTAGTATGTGAATAAACGAAATATAGAACGTAAAATGGAATTTTCATCATTTCTCTTTCAAAACTAATGTATTTTAATTTTTAATATAAAAAATTTTTTAATTAGTAATTATTTTATTTATAAATAACTTTTAATATGTATAAGTAAATATTTACATATTTTTTTCAACAATTATTGTTTCCACTTCTCGTTATTCTATTAATTATTCATTTTGAATTTTGATCGAATATCAATAATGTTAAAGATTATCGATCTTTTTGTCTGAAAAATCGGGATCAATGAAGACTATCAATATCATTACTTCTAAACCTTTATTCGTACAGAGCTGTTCACGTACAACATTAAAAATAACGCAAGGTTTGTCGCCGTTTTTTCAGAAGAATACAACGAAGTTTTACTACGTGTATTCCGACCTCGAGCGAGAATGATTAGGCAACGTCCTTTATTTATTGTAACAAGGGTTATAAACAACTAACATGGTGTCCATTCCGGTAACATACCACCATTGTCTTTTTTTTTTTTTTTTTTAATAAGTAATTCTTCTTGATTTTACTCGTGTCTTTCAATAATTATCGCGACAATGCACTTAACTTACTTTATACTAAATTTAACAAGATAATTATCGTTTCTTATTTTAAAAACCTCATGAAATTTGTATGTGAAGTTTTAATAGTTAGCTATGAAAGATAATTTGAAAAAGCGGTAACAAGTAACGATATGTAGAAGATAGAATATAGAAAGGCAGAGTTAAATATAGAAGAGTTTAAAAAAACGAGCTGAAAAGATCGAACAACTCGAAATGAAAATTGTATGTTGCTTTGTTATTAAACGGTATCGTTGCACGTTTCAACATCTTTGTTAATAATTGACCCGATAGATGGGGTCATCGATTGCCTCTCGGATCGGTGCATCGATGATTTTTATCAAAACGTGTTTAAAAATTTCACAGTTTACACTATTAGCCAAAAATGCAAAGATACCTTATATACGTTACATATCTTGTATAATATTTATATATGTACTTATTGCCACGTTGTTATATAATTTATCAGCGAACAGTATTCTAATACTTGGAATTTCTAAACTCGATTTCTCTTTCCTCTTTTCGTACGTCTAAAATTTACCTTACAGTTTAAGAGAATAAAGTTTATTATTTAATCCTAGAAACAATATATTTTCACCGGAATCTAGCTTGGCCAGTATAGAATGTTACTTTTTTTCGTACAATCTCAAGTAAAAAAAAAACAATCTTGCAAACAAACTACTGAATCACTCTGGCCTCCTGGCGCAGATAGTGGAAATAATCGAATTCTAGGTTATGTTCGAGCGTTTTCACTCGGATTAATCACCGCCACCATCATGACACGAGGGATAATGTCTGAACGAAGAGGGACACAACGAAAAATTAACGAGAAAGATACTTTCGTTATCATTCTATCGAAATTATTGAACGTTGTCTTCGAAACAAACTCTTTCATTTTGAGAAAGAAAAAGAAAAAGAAGAAAAAAAAGAAGAAATAAAATCTCGAGTGACGACATTCTCCATCGGTCTTGACGGCAAGAAATAGGAAGACAGAATCGAAGAGAAAAAGGAATCAAGGTAAAAGAAAGATAAATCTCTTTTTTTTTTCTCTTTCTTCCTAACAATCAGAATATTCACAGGCAGTTAATTTCATCTTAATATTAAACCGAATAAACTCGAAAGAAGAAAAATCAGGAAACGAAGGTGATAAAGAAAAGGCACAGAGGGCGTTTCTGTTATACTTCCGTTTCTGTCGAATCTCGAATCCTTCTCGCTCGAGAGGCGTTCGTTCGACTGTACGAGAGGTCGCTTGGTTTTTGTCTGTGCGCTTTCTTCACGAAGAAAAATATATGTATATTATGTATATTTAATGTCTCTCTCTTAATTATATTATATATAATAATTAATTAATTTCTTCAACATCGCGCCTGTCACAACGCGATACTCTTCACGTTCTTTATATGTACAATGGTTAAATCTCGCGAGCTTTGTCGATTTTATTTTCTCCTCCTTTTCTTCTCTCTCTCTCTATTTATATATTTTTTTCTTTTCTTTTCTTTTTTTTTTTTTTATCTATTCTTTATCTCTAGCGACGTAAGTTTCGCAAGTATCGAGAGGCTTCCGCGATCAAATTCCATTTCTTTTTAGAATTACGGTTCGCTGGAAGACTCCATCGAAAATTACGTCACTGGTCAAAATATGCCATTTAAATTTTTTTACATTCGTCCTAAAAAAAAAAAAAAAAGGAAACGCGCGTACCACTCGACTCCAACGACAAAAGGGAGGTAACGCTTCTTCGATTCTCACTTGCTTTTCCATCTTTTCTGCCGCCATTCTTTATCTTCTTTTAAATTAATCGATCCATTTATCGTCATCATTCCGATTCGCCAATTGTTCTCTCTGGATTCTTTGGTCTCTCTCGATCGAATCTCTCGTGTTTCTCTCTCTAGTCTCGATGGTCTTAGAATCGATGTAAAGATACACGATGATCTTGATAAAGGAGGGCCTTCTTATTGGCAGAGAACTGACGATCATTTCCGAGGAAAATAATCTCAATTTTTTGGCTCGATGTTTAATGATGTTCATTCGAATATTTTTCCAATACGAGGAATCTTAAATTATATCTTCAAATTTTTTCTGGACGACGATTAGAAGTTGTGTTTCTTATCGATAGAAGTGTCTTTTATAAGGCGTTAATTAGCATCGTTAGCGATAAAAAGACACGATTAGAGAGAAGAAATGGAAATGAAGAGAAAGAAAGAGAGAGAGAAAGTGAAGAAGATGAAGAAGATGAAGAGAAGAAAGTGAAGAAGTGAGGAAGAAAAAAAGGAATGGATAGAAGGAAAAAGAAGCGAGGAGAAGAGAAAAAGAACGATCGAAGGGAAAATAAGAACGAAATTGATAATTTTTTCGATTAGACATGAATAAAAAAAAAAAAAAAATTAAAAAAGAAATCGTGTATGCGTTGAAAGAAATTCTACCAATATTAAGGAAGAATTATAAATAAAAACTGCACATTAAAAAGAAAAAAAAAAACATATTATCGATCAAAGAACTCGAAACACTCAATTTTTCTTTCCTTTTTTTCCATCCATATTTTATCTACAATGGTTAATTTATATAAACCATTGATTCGATATCCCATTTTGGAAACAACTTCTTCTTCCTCATCATTTATATATAAATATATATAATATATTTAGATTCTCTACACCCGAAGAACAAGAAACACAAAGTGAACAAAGCTTCTTTCTTGCATTTGCAGACGACGAAACGGAAAAGTAGCGGCAGTGCGGTAACCAGCCAGGGAAATCGGGGTAGAAGAACAAAATGGTTCCCTTGCCATCATGGTCGTCGTCCAATAGCGCAGATCAATTTGAATCGAAAAAAAAAAAAAAAAAAAAAAAAAGAAAACCATTTCAATTTTCCTCCTTCTCTCTCGTTCTCTCGACGCAGATCATTGCATCCCTCCTTTTGTGCGAATTTTTTTCTGAAATTTCATCGATATACTTTTCCACACAGACCACGGATCCCTCCTCCTCTTTCGATTCCATTTCTCGACTTCTTGCTTGCTCCTTCTCCGTGTCCCCTTTTTCTCTCCTTGCTTTTTCTCCTTACGTTATTTATTATTATTATTATTATTAATATTAATTCCCTCTCTCTTTCTCTCTGTAGTTTAGTCGGCTCGATGTTACTGGCAGAGGAATTTTGTTGCCGGCGGCACACGGCGAGACAAGGCTAGGCCCATTTGTCGACGACCGTTTCGCTTACTGCAACATAATAACACAGGCGCACATCGATTAATTCGATCCTTAACCACCAATTCATTCAACGTCTCTCCCTCGTTCGATCTCTCGAGTGGACAAACCATATGATAAAATGGCAAGCTGCTCCGATTAGACGTTCACATTTTATCATTCAATTTTTCGTTCTCTCGAAACGCGTCGAGAATTCAACGACAGAGAAGCCCTTCTCGAAGCGTGGAATCTCGAGCGTGATTCATTTTTTTTCATTTCAATTTCCTTTTTCCCTTTAATCTTTGTCCATTTTTCTCTCTATCTATCTACTCTAGAAACAATTGTCACATTATCGTCGTCGTCGTCGTCGTCGTGGATGACGAGTGACATATCCCTTTTGTCTCTTCCAAAGTGTGCATCTCTCTTCCTCCCTCCCCCTTTCAACATCCCTCTAACCAGGACGCGATATATTGAGCATGATCGGTAAAACGAGTATAGCAAGAGTATAGCACATTACAGTTTCTTTGTATAATAAAGCTTCAAACGTAATTTTAACTAATGTACAACAACGATCGACCAGTTTTTGAAATATCGACACGTTTCACGATACCATACTTGTCTTTTCCTATGTTATTTAACGTCTTTTTCTTTTTCTCTCTCTCTCTCTCTCTCTCTTTCTTTATTTCTCTCGAAAAGGCGAACAACACAGATTCTTTTTCTTCTTCCTAAGTTTTCAACAACAGCGAACGAAATTAAC